CAGTTTGGGGAGATCGGAAAAGGGATTTTAAGGGTCGTAGAGATTGAACGTGAGGAATACTGGAGGTTTTAAATAGGAAGTCGGTCTGTGAAGAATGGGTAAGACGTTTGGAAGTCAGAGATTATAGTTAGGGATCGCAGTAGCTTTAGAGGTTAGATTTGGGAGGTTAGGAACTGGATTGTGTTTTAATTGCAGTTCCAATTGGAAATTGGAATATTTGAGAAGATCCAAGGTGGAGATTTGATGGATATTGGGGTTGAATATGGTTCTTATGGAACACTGGAGGCTTTAATCAGAGAGTAGGTCTGTGGATGTTGAAGAATTCGCTTTAAAGTCGAAAAATCGTCACTAGGAACCATTATGGTAGGTTTAAAAGCATAATTTTGGAGGTTAGGAACCGAAATGCGTTTCTATTGCAATTTGTAGCACATGGAAAACTTGGAGACCTAGGAAAAGAGAATTCGATAGGGATTAAATATGGTCTACAAGGTGTCCTAGAAATTCTGACGAATGACCAGGTTGCTGGATGTCGGATAATTCGCTGGAAGGTCAAAAAATTGTCGCTAGGGGGCATCACGGTGGCTTTAGAACTGTGTCCTCGAAGGTTAAGATAGAGTTGTGTTTTATTTGTAGCAAATGGAAGATTCAAACAGCTCGGAAGAGGGAGTTTGATGGGAGTTGAGATTGAACGTGGTCTATAGGGTGTGACGGGAGTTCTATATCACTAGGAAAATCGTGATCCGCCATAACCAATCGTTACAGGATGCTACATTACGTAATTTAATTGCAATTATTAAATTTTCCTGCTACACAGAGACTAACCTCTTCGAATTCTACTCACGTTGTAATTTCCAAAACTATAATAAGATGGCGGTGTATAGTATCAGCAAATGGTATTTCATTGTGCAAAAATTTCACTTTCCCGTTACAAATGAAACAAGCAATTGAAGGAATTCATTTTCCAAGCATTCCTACGATACTGACTCAACAATTGCTCAATTTTAAATTTCGCCCTATATATGGAACTCCGTTCTCAGTAATGGCGGTCCTACGCTTTCTTCTGGGTTCCTCCACTTTCGATACCCAGGCAGTGGTTTTTAAGTTCCGTGGCGGAACTCGAAGCTTTCGCCGGAGGACGAGAAAGAAGTCGTCTCGGATCTTCCGAAGAATCTTTACGTAACCTCCGACAGAAAACGTTGTTGCTTGAATTCCGACAAATGAATCGACGAGGACCGGATAGGTCACGACGCTAGTCACGAAGCCGCACCGATTCACACGGCCCACCCGGTATATCCTAGTGCGGCAAATTTTTCATTCTTCCCTTATTGCTGCAGGAAGTACCAGAGTCGTAGAACTTTTTATCGGGCATCACAAAGAGTTCCTGTGTTGTTAGGTTAAATTTGATCTAGGCTACGCGAAACGGCTACCAGCGAACGATCATTGCGTGGAATTTTCACGCACCGTGACGAACTTTCAATTATGGCGGACAAATATCGTTTTGCAAACGCGATTTAAATCAATCGCCGGTGTCCCTTTCGCCGATTGGTTTGTATTAAATTACGAGGTTTAATTCCTGATGATTTTCAAATTGTCATAATGAAAGGGTTCCCGACAGAGACAAAGATCGCGCCGCTCTCGAGCGGCTTTTTAGGAGCCGTAACTTATTCTGCTCCCTTTTTTGTCTCGGGCCTTTTTGTTGGCGCGACGTTTCAGCAAAATCGACGAAGAAAAAAGCACAGAGGACCGTGACTCCCGCTAAAGGGCGGTGGGAGGCTCGAAGGAAACCAAAAGGGGGCCTACGCCGAGCTTAGATCATGGATCCAAGAATATCGTGTCTTCTTAAAAATCTCGCATTTCGAAATTTTAACCGGTTAACGAGCAAGCTTGAAAATGAGGCGATTGCCAAATTGCGAATTAACCCCTTTAACGATAATTTATATATATGAAATAATAATTAACGTAATAAAAGTTTGAGTAAAAATTACCAAATTTTATAATATGTTAAAATATTGTAGAATATTTTAGAAATTTAAAAATTAGAATCCGCAATTATTGTCGCAAGATGTTTATCACGATATAGATATTAATTACGGTTTTTAGCAGTTATCGTGTTTCTTTTAAAATAAAATACGAGGAATTCCAATGTGATGTTAGTTCAAGTTTAGAATATTCGGATTTTCTGTAACAGGCGAGATAAAAATTGTGGAAAAATGAGTTTGCCGATAGAAGAAGTCGTTTAGGAGATAAGAATATGTAAGAGTTCGGAGAGAAACGTGTGGACAGGATGTCTCCCGGTTCTCACGTCTGTCTCGTTCATCTCGTGCGAAGTTTCAAAATTGCTTCACCACTGACGTCATCAGACCGAACTGACGTCTGCAACCATTTGGCGCGTTTCTTGTTCCCGTGGAACCTAATGCATCTTGAAGGATCCCTGACCCTTTGTAACCAGAATTTCCTTCGATCATGGGAGAAATATTCTCCGCCTTCTCCCATGCCCTAAACTTTATTCAAAAATTTTATCTCTCTCTTCATTTCCTCCCCAAAAAATAACTCTTATCTCCTTCCATCATCTAAATTTTATCTAAAAATTTTGCTCGAAAGAAATAAAAAGGAAGATTTAAACTGAAGTTTTAAAATGCACAATCTCGTTATGCATAATGCTGCAAACCTACGCAAAAGTACATATTTGTAACTCATCTCGTCATCGTTGAAAAATCCATTTCACCTTCATAGCTTTTAACTTATCAGCTGGAACAATTACACGCAGGTCGATTAGCATACGCGATTACCACGAAACAAGCGGAATAATTCTGCATAATATCGCTGTAATCACTCGAGGACAAAGGGGGCTACAGAATTACCGTGGTGAGCAAAGAGCTGTCCTCGAAGTAGCCTAAACCCTTAACTATATCCCCACTTCTCCGCGATGGCGGATAACGCAGCGTCTGTTCGCAGTTAGAAAACCTTATCTGGCGGCCATCGCGATAAAAGGGGCAGGAAAAAATCGCGCGATTTAATTAAACCACAGCACAGACACCGTGACCATGGCATGACGATGTAATTAGTATCATGATCAGGCTAATACGAGCCGTGGTTGCACGCGTGCGATGGTAATAAAAGCGACGCCGCTATTCGACGCCACGAATGATAAACTCGGCCACGAGGCGATATCGGTCGATCGTATACAAAGTAATAAACAAGAGCAAAACATATTTGCGAAACATAAACATGATGAATGATAGCACGAGAAAAATCGACTTTTTTTTTATCTCTTTACTATTTTTTCTCTTTTTTATTTCCTTTTCCTCTTTATTTGTTTAACTGTGGAGATTTATCGCGACAGATTAATTAAATGGTTAATTAAATTTTGTAATAAAGACGTGAGGAATATGGAAAATTCGGCTGGTTTCACTCGCTCATCGGTCGAACGGTGAATTTCGCCAGGAGAAAAAAATCGGATCGACTTACGTCCAGTTTCTCCGACGATAAATTACACACCGTGATCCGAAATCGGTCATCGAGAAGCTGGTTGCGAGGTAGAGGAAACTGCGAAACGCGTTTAAAATGTCGACGAGTATCCTCGTTGAGTAATGGAATTACGGTGTCAGTGATCCTTTTTACGGGGCGGGGGGAGAGAAAAAATATCGTCGATTACTGCCTGACAGAAAATCTGGTCATAGATGAAAGAGAAAATTGTCTATTCGTGCGTTCGATTCGGAAGAATTTGTATATTGAATTATAATAGAAGTTTTAATTGGTAATTTGGCGTAGAACATGGTAGCGGTTGGATGAGAATTAATTAAGGATTAATTGAAATATTTAAGCCGTAATTACCGGTATACTGATCCTCGTTGATGAAATTTTATCAGGAGATAAAAAATTAATTAAAATTAGAAACGGAAAAACTCGTTATACCTCGGAAATAAAACAAATGAATTACGATGCGCGCTGTGCACGTTTTCTAGCAACCACACTTCATTCTCCACCTTTCAAAACGGAACACTCTACATCACTGCCATTCCCTAATGGATTTCCTTATGTAACGCGATTTCTTTCTATGCATCATCAGCGGAATCAAGAAAAATCTGCGCAATCAGATGAAACGGGCATTTTTCGCGTATACCTCACCATCAATCATCCTCTTCTACTGCACCAACCGAAACAATCTGACCCCGCTAGAACATCTCCAAACTCTGCGGACCAAACTCCACCAGTTATCCATTAGTCAGACACAATTTTCAGGCAAAAACAAAAACATATAAAGCATCAAACTGTGGCAAAAAATAATTAATACAACAACCATAACCTTTACGAGATACATCATAACCTCGAAACCTCGTGGAGATCAGAGAAATATCAGGTTCCGAGAATTGGAAATTTTGCATCGTTTTCGTCATTCAAAATTTTAGATTCGACTCCCTAGAATTGACCCAATCATCTATCAAAATACCACCAAATTCAAATACCAAATTCTAAAAGCAACGTACAGTAGAGACTTAAAACGAGGAACTAGTTATCCATCAGTTAGGCACAATTTTCAGGCAGGTAAACAAAAATATATAAAGCATCAAACTGTGGTAAAAAGTAATTAATAGAACAACCATAACCTTTACGAGATACATCAGAACCTCGAAACCTCGTGGAGATCAGAGAAATATCAGGTTCCGAAGAATGGAAATTTTGCACCGTTTTCGTCATTCAAAATTTTAGTTTCGACTTTCTAGAATTGACCCAATCATCTATCATACCACAAAATTCAAATACCAAGTTCTAAAATTTTTCTAAATCGATTAGAACACGCATAATTCACCGAAAACGTAAAAATCTCACGAATCGAACACCTCATCGACACCCCCTAAGCATCTCACCTCGTCACCCTTGTAAACCGTAAGACATACCTGAAATCGCTATTAAAAGTCTCATCTTCGAGGTATGACAGCTTGGACAATTTTCTCGTTCCTCGAGAAATGCTTTATATTCTTCCTTCTTCTGTTCCACAGAATCGAGACGCATGAGAGTCGATACCGGGTGATCGTGATCACGTGAGGGCCCAGCAGTTTCCGGCGAGGCGTATCGCGAGATGTCGACGGCCGACGGTATGGATAATCCGGCGTTCGCCAGCGAGGAAGAGTGCGGGACCGAGTCGAAGCTGGACGATGGTCAGCAGCAAGCGACCTTGGACCAGGATCACAAGTCGGAGGGCGGCCCCGTGGAGAACGGGCATCAGCGGCCGCAGTTCGTGTCGCAGCAATACGTGGAGGCCGGAAGGACCAGCCCGGATCCGCATTACAGAACCGAGACGAAGATCGAGCTGCCCGACAGCAACGACAAGACCGTCGTCGAGCCGAAAATGAACGGCGTTCACGGGAACGGGAACAATAACGATGCCAGTTTCTTGAACAATAGCGCGACCAGCGTGCAAATCAATGGTAAGTCTGATATTATTTGTTAGGTTATGTTCATTCTGGTTAATTCCATCATTTTTCATGTTACGTCTGGTATCTAAATAGCGTAATACGGTTGGACACTGTTGATCCATTTTTATTACAAACTTCCTTATTTTCTTGTTTACTTGGGCACGGGAATGTACCGTTATGAGAGTCGGTGAAATTTATCACAGACTAATCACATGTGCATATATGTACATCGAGGTATATGTTAATATGTGTTAGTTATTTTTTTTTTTATTAAAAACTTCCTTATTTTCTTATTTACTTGTGTACGGGAATGTACCATTACGATAGTCAGTGAAATTTATCACAAACTAATCACATATGCATATACGTACATCAAGGTATACGGTAGACTTTCGTAATGCTAAACGAAGTAAAGTTGCATATAAAGTTATCTAACAGAATCTCACTAATAGAGTGGAACAGATACGAAGACTATAGTTACGAATTAATATATAGAGCATAGAGTACAATCTTAGCAAAAGGAAAGAATATATAACAAAAAGAGTCTTCCAAACACTCGAAATAAAAGATCAATCTTCCTAGCAAGAACATCTCCCTAACTGCACTCCACCTAAAAACAAACTTCGTCCAATTACCAACCGTTCCTTCATACTCCAACGATTACCTAACCTCAAACTCAGGAAAAAGAATTCGAAAAAATCTATCTCACCGATCCACGAAAACCGAACACTGAATTAAAGATCTACTCTTTCCGAGCAGTATTTCTCACAGTCACCATCGATTCCAATTTTTCCCCCACCCTTTTTTCCCAACTTTGCGACACGTTGGAATAGTCAGACAGAGACCTGTCTGCCAGGAACGCGAAAAGGAGAGGCGAGAGAACGAAAAAGGAGGTGGATTTACGTAAGCAGAGACCGCAGGCTTTTACCGTGCTGAACGGAGAAAATTCTTCGGCGACAAAAAGCGAACGCGTGGCCGCCTGTTGCATTTTTCCGCCGCGACGGTCGCTGCAAGCCGCGCGACTGCAGCGCCAAGCTGCAAAGGCGATCGACCGCGGCGGACATTTGTCAACGATTGGGACAAACGGTGCTCGGAAACCGCGTAAATTTCGTTCGCACGCGTTCGATGAATAATGCATCGGCCTGCACGTGAACGATGGGTTCCACAGCGGGATTGTTAGAACGAAACTCGCGATTAGGCGACTCGAGCAGATCGGGAGTGCTTGTTCTGCTCTTGAAATTCAATGCTTCGCGGCGGGATAGTGCAACGCGGTTGCATTGCTTCACTGTGTTCTTTCGCGATATTCCTATTTTCTTCTTTTTCCTTGGTTTTAGTTCCTGGTAAATTTGAATTATTCCTAACTAGACTATTCAGCTATTTTATGTAATTTAAAATTAAACAATTATTCCGCTATGTCGAATATTTTGTTAACCATTTGCACTCGACGATTTTTTGGCTAGAGAAGAGTAGAAATTCAAAGATTCTCTACTAAAAAACTGACGATACTTTTTTCAGCAGTAAATAAAGAATTGTATAATAATAGAATTGTAGAATTATTTGATTTCGATACCTCGCACACTGTTGCATTACGTTAAATTTGATATATTAATTAATATCGATCTTACAAATTTATGAAATCTGAAGCTCACCTCTCGAGTGCAAAGGGTTAAATTGGATGAGAAATAGTATCGAATTTTTGCATAAGATAAATTTAGATTTACTATAGATTTTAATCGAATAATTTGATTATATCGACATTTTCGACTAATATCGTGGTGAGCTAAAAATTTTGCAGAATTTTTTACTATTGACCCTTTCATTTATAGAACGTGGATTGTCTTAAGTCCATTGACTTTCTTATTTAGGTTATGTATTCGGATCTTAAGAGAAATTGTCCCTTATGTAACTAAATTTCCAAAAATTAGAATCACAATCTACGATGTTAATAACAGATACCACTGAAATACTGAATGACATAAAACAAAAATAATTTTTACAAACACGTGTTTCTTTAATTTTGTGTTATTTTATTTGAAATATAATTAATAGATTTTTGTGTATTCTCCACTCTTCTCTACGAAAAAGGAAAATAAAAGGGATTGAAAATGAACTAGTCATGACTGTTTCAAACCCTTCGATTTCTCAATGGCCACCCTGTACAAGGCTGCCAAAAATATATACGAAGTACACAAACGCGTAAAATAAAATCCACGTGTAAAAATCGAATCTCGACTGTAACTGCTCGTGAATATAAATTTGAAACTATAATTCGTGTAAAAGTAGACGAGCTGTAACAAATGCCGGAACACCACGGGGAAACATAAAATATAACGAACGCCTTGTATATCAGATCGAATAGCGGTTCTACCATAATTTTGACGCAAACGGTTCGAGTGAAGAATTCGAAAGCAAAGTAAAACGTTATAGGAGCAATCGCGGCCATTACTGAAATCGATCGCTCGATTTGGAAAGATATGATCGGGACGAGCCGAACTTTCGATCGTTGATTACTGTCACCACCATCGGCGCAAACAGCTCGCCAAGAAAAAGTCGTTCGAGGTCGGTGAAACTCAGAAGGTGCATGAACGATCCTTCCACGCGATGGTCAGTTTGCGAACAAGGTACCTCCGACTTTGGGTCGATAGATCTCTGGACCTTATAATATTAAATCTCATAATTAGATCTCTGAATCTCGTTTAATAAAATAGCACCACGAACGAAACTATTCATGGCAGAAATCTTGCAAAAGTTACTATATTTATCGAAAAATGATTATTAATTATTATAATAATTCTGGAATAATTGTTATAAAATTATTATCAAGTTTTTCAAATTTTCTCGAATTTTTCTTCAGTTAAAATTGCTATTATATTTTACATCTTTCTGAATTTTCAATCATTTCCTTTGCTACTCCTTTCATTCGTTTTTTGTTGATTTCTTTCGTTAATTTATTAATAAAAGACGCGTGAAAATGGAAAAAATGTCGAACTTACTATAGCTCGGTCGGTTTTCTGTCAATTTTAAACAGCATTCCGGTGACCTAATCGCTATTATTCTTAAAAAGAAAAGCTAGACGTGGAGTATCTGCGAGATATGTCAACTATTTTCCGCCTATGCGATGGAACGTAGAACTTTCTTCTTTACACGAAGTTACGAACGATGAACGTTACCCAATAACAGTACATCGACTTTTGAACTACGTCCGAGTAAACACGTAATTAACCAACTTCTTTCCCTGTTAACATCGATTTTACAGCACGCGAGGTTCCGCCCCGTAAATAAATACTTTAATACCACGTGTAATTTCCACACCTGTAAATTACATAACCCCCTACCATCTCTCTCGGGCCCATAACGTACACCATCGAACGTAACTCCGAGACCGCCATACTCCAAGAATCGCAGTAAAAAAGGGGGAAAATAAAAAGTGAAAGATTACTGGAAAGATAACCGATAATTATGAACATGCATACAGCTAATTACACAAAATAGTCGCCACTTACGTTACATAAATAATCGCTAGAAAATGTGCTATGAAATGGAATTTTAAGTGACTATGCGAATTTAGGTGAATCAGAGGAAACAAGTTGGGCCAGATGCGTATCTGAGAGATGGTATCTAGACGACTTGGGTAGATAATGTAAATTAGGTAAATTAGATTAGGCAGATTAGATGTAAACTGTGGAATAATAAATTAGGAAACCAGGTGAATCAAGAATTCGGTTGTCGAGTGTGTCGCATGTGTGCGAAGTGTATTGTATTTCCTCATTCTTTTTCAACAGAGTTTGACAGGGACGCAGTAGATAGGTTAAGCAAGAGCGAAATGCAAATCGGATAGATCACATCTAGAAATCGTGGATTACATGTGTCACATGAATGAAATTTATCACACAGATTACGTGAATCACGTAGATTAAATACAGATAAGGTGGCTGGACTGAATAAAACAACCTGGGTAGCCAGAGGAATTAAATTAACGCGGATGTAGATCGGAACGAAGTATTTTACATAGATAACGTAGATTAGACAAACCAGCTGATACTCAAATTAATTTCCCGCTACAAATTACACTTTGATGGAAATCATTGTTAATCCCATCAATTTTTCTAAATTTTATCAGTTTTATCAGGCTATTAGTATTAGAAGTTATCTCCAGTAATCTTTTTTTGAAACGCGCTAGATACTGTGAACGTTTCACAGTTTAAAATTGACAAGTTTGCACGTTAGGTAGTCTCGTTTAGCTGTGTCATGTACTGTTGCGTGTCTCAATTTTTTCTGCCGAGTTTTTGGTGATTAATAGCTCCTCACCTTGGCATGTGCACGCTGATTGGTTATTTCGAGAAATTTTAATTTTCCAATGAGCGGCATCCTGATCGTTGTGATGAGCCTTCCATGCACCATTGGTGCGGCTTCACTTGGTATGGCTGGAACGGTTCCTGAGCAAGCATGTGGTCTAGAGTTTTGCCTAATTCGCTTGCTCCAGGTCCAAAGTTTCGGTAGTTGGTTAGAGAAACTTCGGAATTACCTTTCGGAATTGCCGGGTTTTATAACACGTCTTTGGCTATCGAGCATGGACGAAATTAAGATTCGTAGGAACATCTTGATCATTGGCTCCTAATATTCCAAGATTTCAACTCGAACTCGAATTCACGGCTCGTTTAGGTCTGGCAAGGTAGGATAATACGTATGCACCGCGTAACAATATCCTTAAGTCTTAACCCTTTCGCTACTACGAGTGTCTATAGTCACCGGCCACAAAGATTGAGTAAAAATTAAGACAAGTGCTACCGTTCCTCTTCGCAAAGAATTGCAAGAGCTATTGCGATGGTTGGTCTTTCCTCTTTTGTTTTTCCTTCAAAAGACTTGGCCTCGAATGCTAAAGACTTCACGATCCTAATGTTTCCATCATTGACACGACGCTTCGTTCTACGGGAGAGACTTCACGACGATACTCGTCGTAGCGAAAGGGTTATGTATTACGATTGGAACCAAGTGGTAATTGATAACCATCTCGGATTTTGCTCAGCAAAAATTGGTAATTAGTCCTAGATATGTGATGTTTGCAATGTAATTAAACGATTTCCCGTTTTTCATAGACACCGGAAAGAAAGAGCAGATCGAGGCCGTAAACTTGGAACTGGTCTCTATGAGGCCTTACGCCGGCAACAATCTACAGACGAAGGGTCAAGAGGCTTGCGAGGTTCCAGCTGATCCCTACGAAGAGTACTTCGTTCCGGTGAACGAGCATCGAAAGTACATCAGGTAACGAGCGCCTGAAAAAGTCTTCCTCTGCTCTCTGTGTTCTCTTCCTGGCTACTGTTTAACATTCGATCGTGTTCACCAGTCCGGGGCGTAGCGAGATCGCTTGAATCTTCAGCGAAAATGTTGAAAACACGAGCGAAGATCAGGAAGATCCTAGTTTTTAGCTTGCTATTTCGAAACGGAGAAAAGATTCCGTTCGTTCCTGAATTTCGAAATATTTTGGGTCAGTTATGAATATATAATGTCATTCGATCAAACGAAACTTCGAAAAACAGATGTTATTTGAAATTAAAATTAGCTTATGGGATATTTAAAATTTAAAGCCCATCCTATGACCAGATCGTGAATTTCCAGTGGAAAGGTTGGACAGATAAAAGATGAATTAAAAACATCCTAATTTTGTTGCTTCGCTATCCCGAATCGGATAAATCGCCAAAATTGATTTCTCAATTTCAGAATATTTTGGATTCGATAGAGATATTAAATATTATTCGTTTGGAGAAGAGGTAAAAGGATATTACACGATATTAAGATAATTTTAAGGAAAATCTGTGACTGGAATATTCGGAATTTAAAAATGGCCTACGTTTAGATGCCCCATTTTAAATGGAAATTTTGAGCGATCAAAGAAATAAATTACCAAGATTCGTTCTTCGATTCCAAAATATTTTAGATTCCATGAAAGTATAGAATACTATTTTCTCACAGGAAAATACGAAAAATATTATTGGAGACTACGCATACTTTGCGGAAAATTCTCGATAGGAATATTCGGAATTTAAAGATGGCCTACATTTAGATCCCCAATTTTTAATGGAAAGATTGAGCGAATAAAGAAATAAATTACGAAAATATTTTAGATTCGATGAAAGTATAGAATACTATTTTCTCACAGGAAAATACGAAAAGTATTATTGGAGACTACGCAAGCTTTGCGGGAAATTCTCGATAGGAATATTCGTAATTTAAGGATAGCCTGCGTCTAGATACCGAAATTTATGTTTAATTCATGCCTGGCTTTGCTTAGTTGCTAAAACGACCGATTTGCCGGCTGAATACAGATAAAGGAACATCGCATTGCCATTGAATTCGAAAACGCTGCGAGCTAATGGCGTAAAAGACTCGTAAGAAAGTGATTAACTCGCGATGAATAATTCTTTCGCCGATTTGACTATGAAAGCCGCGAATACCGAGGGGAAATTTCACATCCTAGTGAACTATAAAAAAAGGCCAGGTCGATGTGTCAAGTTTAAAGAAACAATTCTCTATTTCGCACAAACCTGAAACCCGGTTTCATAAACATTTTAATATTCATCCCGCGTATTTTACGCGTCCTCCATTTCTTCGCCTGCCGGCTTACACATGCTAATGTATTCCTAGATCCTTCGCGTTTGCAGTATGATAATTTCCTGGCGACAGAGTTCGTACCCTTTCTTCCAATCATTTTTCCATCGCCCGTCGACTCGCCGAGAAAATGGTTGTCCCAATATCCACGGATTTCAGCGAAAATTTCGCACAAGAGCTACGAGCAGAACGGAAAACACGATCGTCGTTCTCGGATTAAACGAGATCGGATAAAATGTTTCGATAATGAACCGTCCAATTAAGAGACGACGAGATAATAATACACCAGCGATTATAATATCCCGGAGATAATATTCGATGGGAATCGAAGCGTCGTTAATTTCACGCGCGAATAAAAGCCGATAAAATGGAATAATTAATATCGTTGGTAAAATGAACGATAAAGTCGACGCGGGAACAGAAATCGATAACACTACGATCGAGTAATTCGTTGCGAGGTGAAAAACGATACGAATATACGCGAACGGAGGAAATACAGATATATCGATTTTAGAAAAGAAGGAGAAAAAAGATTGCGGATACTGGGGGAACGAACGAAGGTCCTCAGACGTTGCGGGTTACGTTCACCGATGGTGGAGCTTGCGAAACGAACGTGTCACAATGTTCCATAGCGAAACGCAGGAGTCGACCGTCTATTGCAGAAATGACCGTCATTCGTCAGAAATAGAACTCTGCATCAGCCACGAATTATTTTCCGATTTACGACGAATAATTTTCGTTTTGGAAGCTTGGAAGTAGTAAGAAGAACTCTTCCACGACCTTCCCGGGACGAGAGAAAACGAAAAGATCAGGATGGTCGGGAGAAAAAAGGAGCGATCCATACGACAAATCTGTTTATCTTGGTCTGCATCAGCTGAGTAGTGTCGCGTAGTTGTTCCTTTCTTTCTTCCTCTCTCTCTTTCTTATCGCTTGCTTCGCGTTCGAGATTAGCATCGGGATGAGTTAACGAGCATTCGTCGAGGATTTTCTTCCTTTTTCCCTTTTTTCCCCCTTTTTGTCCTCCGAGGAAAGCCGTAGAGAACCGTTTCGTGCCGTCTGCCCGTTCAGCACGGGCACACGAAATGTCACGCGAGGCCACGGGTCTGTGCGCGAATGTCGTCGACTTGCTGGAACAGCAAGGAGTAGTGTGCGCGTAACAGCGAAGTGCACGGAGCAATAGTTGGAACGCGATTTTCGCACGGAGCATATACGCACAGCCATTAGTCAATAGCAATTTCCATTTATGACCGAGCCGTGAAATCGCCGTTCGAAACCGCAACGACGTCGCACGGCTGGTCTACACCGGGCCTAGATCGATCGCAGCATCCAGGAAAGGAGGCCAGCACGAAAGCCAGAGAAAGGAGAGAGAAGCAAGATGAGACCTCTGTCAATAGCCTTTCTCTTGTTAATATCGCTCAAAATTAATCGACATTTCTGCCGATACAGCAGGATTGTCAGGGATAAAGGATAGAGAAGATAAGCAAAGATCTCGAAAGTGCTCGGGTCTCGATCCCTCATCCGATCACGCGAACCAACGAGTACATGCTCCATGCGAGATCGTTCGCTAGCGTAACGTTAGAGCCACAGTATACAGCTTCACCGCCGCTGACCGCGAGGTTATAGCCCACACGAGACAGACACACACACACACACATACATGCACACGTGCGAACATGTACACAGGACAGAGGCCAGCAGCAGCTGAGTAGAGAGTTAGACGGTGTTTTCTGTTGTCACGATACCTAGCAGGGGTCCCGAGGCCGAGGTTGAAACAACCGTGGCTGGAGTGCGTTTTGATTTGGGCCCCGGCGTCGGCCGCGAGGGACTCAGCCTGAGAGACCCTGCCGCCGGACTGGTCGACTATTCCCACTGGCTGACAGCCCTCAGGTACATTGAAGGATGCTTACGAGGATGAGGAACGGGGGAGAAGGCTGCTGATCGATGAACGAAATGGTGGATGCGCACGATTCGCGAACTAACCCGCTTACACCCTGCTGCTCCCCCTATTTTTTCTCTCTCCTCCATTTTTTTCTTTTTTTTTTCTCCCCTTTTTAATCGCCAATCGCAATGGCTGAGCCTGACGATGTATACCCAGACGACGGAATGCCGCGAGCAATTCACAATTCTTTCACCTTGCAAAATGCACCGCGATGATACTGGATGATAATGGCTATTAGAAACGTGGATAGGCTGAAGAATGTTGGTCTGTTGTATTTTTTCTTTTTTTTGTTTGCCTGACTGATTGGTTGTTGCTGTTACGATGGATGGATAGAGAGAGGTGCTTCAGGATTCACGAAACTTGTAGTCGCTACACACAGCATCGTCACCATTGTCGAACGATAGACTCGTTGAGTACCCTTAACAGGCATTTACCCGCAAAGAAACGATTACAACACTATCTCAGAAGCAGACTTCCCACACGCGGACACTGATCACGAGCATTCGATCGTCGCGAGAAACTGACCTCGACTCCTCGAGAATCGGATACCGTTTCTTGGTCGAAACTCTAAAGTCGAAATGGTAGAAGGAACATGACAGACTCTTGGGCGTGGAGGAACGTCAGTCGATTAGACGATCGCGACGAGTCGTTTAGAATATGGTGTCTGTTCGTCTAGGGGAGCTTCTAATCCCATGGTCGCTGAAGAAGGTCTCGGAACATTGACAAGCACAGTGCTGTACAAAATATGCTTCTTTTGGGTCTAGGATGGGGGTGAACCGAGCAAGCTGACGACCATCGTTGTTAATAATGAACGAAATTGTGTTACAGGGGCGAGAAGCTTTATGTAACGAAGGACAAGAGATCCAGGAGCTCGTACTGGAGAAGGATGGCTTGCTGGGGATGCGGCTTGTTGGTTCTGCTGGTGGCAGTCATCATTGCCATTTTGGCCGCAAGTAAGCTATTTCCTACTGAAAGTTATTCATACGCGAAAATATTCTCGAGGATATAGCTTCAGAGACTCGGTGATTTAAAAAGGGTTAATGCAAACGATCGATTCTGTCCTAGCTGGAGTAATCCTGGCGCAAGAGGCATCGGAACCCTTGGAGAATCTTCAACAGACTAATTCCCGGCAGTTCGGAGACGTGCGTACCGCGGGAAGTCAAGAGTACCTGAAAGATCCGCCACTGAGTCCACCTCCAGCGACTTCCACCTTTCCACCCTGGTCTACGACCGATGAAACCATTTACGACAACGTTCCCAGCGCCTTAGCCGGTGTATTGAAATTAAACGAGTTCCGTTGGAACAACGACCTAAACGATCCCAAGTCCAGAGTGTACAGACAAGTCAGCTCGGAGATAGAAGAATACTTGAAGAGCATGTTGCAACAACCTGCTGATAATGTGACAGTTGTCAAAGTGTACGACATAAATAGGGACGGCGAAGTGAAGTTTAGAATAAGCTATCCACTACGTTCCATGCCCGAGGAAACGCAACATGTTATCGAGCAAACGCTGCAGAAGAACGGTAACATGATTGGGCAGTATCATTTGGGCAGTTTAAAAGTGAATAAATTGGTCGATGAGTGTCGAAGTGGAAGTTTCGGGTGTTCCGAAGAGTGCAACTACGATTACTTTAAGGGTCTATTCGTATGCTCTTGTGGACCTGGGAAAATGTTGGACAGTGATGGGAAGAGATGCGTGGACGACAACGATTTGAGTAACGTGGAGATGGATGATGAGGTACCGGAGACTAATACAGAAGTAGTGCATGATTATGTTCAGGGAAGGAGTAGGGGGCCTGGTACAGTGTTTGAGCCAAGAAGGCCAGATAATTGGGACCACCTGGATTTCAGTACAGAAACAACGCATAATGGACATGTCTCGCCGCAACATAATGAACACGAGTTTCATGCATACGCAAATCCAGAACATGATTCTGCCGCGGTACCAGAACCCACGCAGGTGGCCTCTACGGAGCAGAATCGCCTGTTCAACGAGGAGTCTGATCCTATGCACCCAGTGCATGATCATTCTATGCATGACCATTCGATGTACGATCATTCTGAACATGGCCACTCGATGGATGATCATTCTGCGCATGATCACTCGGTGCATGATCATTCTGCGCATGATCACTCGATGGATGATCATTCTGCGCATGATCACTCGATGCATGATCATTCTGCGCATGATCACTCGATGGATGATCACACTGAACATGATCATTCGATGCATGATCATTCTGCACATGATCACGAAATCCACGATCATTCGGCACATGATCACACGATGTACGATCATTCGGCACATGATCACACGATGTACGATCATTCGGCACATGATCATTCGATGCATGATTATTCAGATCACTACACTAGCGAACCAAAATCTGAACCAGAACCTAGCTCAGAGCCAGAATCTTCTGCACAAAATCCACCATTTGTTGAAACAGAGCCTTCTGTAAAGCCGGAGCCTTCGAGTGAACCGGAACCTACTAGTGAACCGGAACCTGTTAGTGAACCGGAACCTACTAGTGAACCAGAGCCTTCTAGTGAGCCGGAGCCTTCTAATGAACCGAAACCCGCTGCAGAATCGGAACCTTCAACTGAACCGGAACCCTCTGCGGAACCAGAACCTTCAGCTGAACCGGAACCCGCAGCTGAACCAGAACCTTCTGCGGAACCGGAACCCACAGCTGAACCAGAACCCTCTGCGGAACCGGAACCCACAGCTGAACCAGAACCCTCTGCGGAACCGAAACCTGCTGCTGAAACACCGGAACCAGAACCCGCTGCAGTATCGGAACCCAGTGCGGAACCAGAACCTTCCGTGGAGCCAGAATCTTCCGCAGAACCAGAACCGTCTGCAGAACCACAACCATCTGCAGAACCACAACCATCTGCAGAACCAGAACCTTCTACTGAACCAGAACCCTCTGCGGAACCAGAATCCTCTACGGAACCAGAACCTTCTGCT